CAGAGCATGAACGGGGGAGGGTCAGAGAGAGAGGGAGACACAGAATCGGAAACAGGCTCCAGGCTCCGAGCCATCAGCCCAGAGCCCGACGCGGGGCTCGAACTCACGGACCGCGAGATTGTGACCTGGCTGAAGTCGGACGCTTAACCGACTGTGCCACCCAGGCGCCCCTACAGAAGGTTTTCTAGAATACCTCTATAATCTACAAGAGTGGTTCTAAATTTGGGGCAATTTAAATCCTGGGGAACGTCTGGCAATATCTCGGATCATTTTTGACTGTCACGACTAGGGGCAGAGGATGGGTGCTTCTGGAATCTAATGGGTGGAGGGCAAGGGTGTTGCTAAATGTCCTATGAGCACAGCACAGATCCCACATCGAAGGATGATTTGGCCCAAAATACCAACAGAGTCAAGGTTGCAGAACCTTGCTCTAAAACACAACAGTAACTGAGCGGCCTTTGTTTCCTTCATTTCAATCTCTATGACCTTTCTCAAATGTCTCCCACGGGCGAGATGCTATGCTAGCATTATGAGAAGGGTACGAACGATTAGGACACATTTCCTGTCCTCAAAGAACTGAAACTTTCCTTTTATTTGTGACTGGCACACAAGCCTGTTGAAAGAGAGCGCTTGTCATCAAGAGAAGCTTATTTATGCATGGCTCTCATTCTTTGACCATTTCATTTTTTATTCATCATTCTTCATTGAAACCCTATGAGTTAGAGTTAATAGTGAGGCCCCTGCTATGTAGATCATATGGCCTGAGTGGAAGCGTGTTGTTTATACACACTGAAGACACTCCTTTTCAGAACAGCCTTCCAAACCTGGCTGAAATGACACTATCTAATTGTGTTAGCATTAGATTTTTTCGACAATTCACGATATTGGCCAAGCAGTGATCCATATCATCTATGACAGTAATGAAAACGCCAAACTCATTGTTCCATGAGACTTTTCTTTTCCCTTATCAATTGTCAAGGCACAGGCTGAATCGCCAGACACGTTTGCGAACGGTGTCGACCAAGCATATCCACGCTCAAGCGTGTCTGGATTCTGATTGGCTACATGGGTATGGTTTTCCGGATGCTTGCAGTAGAAAAGTGAGCTGGGACAGAATCACTGAATGCCTGAACTAGGAGGCACGTGGCTCATCCAAGCCAATTCGCATATTTTACCCATGATACAGCTGAGGTGAAGAAGAAATGTCATACGTTTACCCAAAGACACAGCTTGTGGTAGGAGAGCCAAGGCTTGGAACCCTGGTTGGGATTCTGCAGAAAACCACTCACTATGCAACTATAATGGTGATAAAAAGACTTTAAACTCCGTGAGGTATACAATGCTTCAGTAACTGTACCACTGAATCCTTTTAATATCCCTTAGCCTAAGAGAGATGAGGAAATTGAGGCTCATGGAAATAAAATCACTCGCCCATAGGCACAAAACTACAAAGTGATCAACCTGCTCCTTGGTTCCCAGTCTAGAGGTTTCTGCGACGCTACCGATTTTTCTCTTTGCCTACCCGAAGCCGTAAGCCCAAATCTGGCTTCTACTATACTAGTTGGACGAGACTTAGAGCTGCTCTTTCTCTCCCCTAAGTTTTCTCTTGATCTTAATTTTCTGTTCTAATTTTTTGTCCTTGTCCCCCAAACGTCTGCGGTTCCCATTCGCCCTGCATTTCCATTTCAGGAACCTGTGTGTCATAAGCAGGGATCATGAGCGAATGGATGGGAACAAATAAAAACTTGAGCAGCAGAGTGACGTGGTAGAAAAGCGACAGGTTTGTATTCGATGCTCCCCTTCTGCCTACCCTCCTGTTTTTGAACTTCACTTTATTGGCCAAAAAGGTCTAACAAAACCTGTAATAAGCACTGTTATGAGTATAAAAGTAATCAAAGCCATTATACGAAGTAGGTATGTATATTATTGTTGGTACCTCGTACCGGGTAGCTATTATTATTGTTAGTAGTGATGTAAACAAGGAAGCCTGCTGCATGGGAACCGAAAGGAGTTCACGGACTCCAGAAGCAAGGCGTCGCTCTCACTGGATTTATGTTTCCAAAGACAGGCACTCACGTGAGTTGGTTGATGGCGTGGTAGAAGTCACGGGGGTCAAATTCAACTGGGAGATGTCAAAGTCGTCACAGTCATCTGTATCCTGTGCCACCCCGACTTTGTTGAAGTAACTGGAGAAGGCCTCTGAGGTACAGGTGAGGGAGGGTTGGTCGGGTTTGCGGGAGGGCACGGGTGGAGGCTGGGCCATCTGGAAATCCTTAAACATCTCTTTCCCCATTTTCTGTCTGGGCTTCTCGGTCTGTGGACTTGACCTGGTGGAGTCACCCGTGGTTGGGACGGTCGCAAGCGGCGTGAGGGGACCTTGGAACATGGCGGCTGGCAAAGGCATAACAGTTTGTGCGGGCATGAAGGCGGCTGGCGGAAACTGCCCGGCCACAGCTGGCCAGGGCTGCTGAGTGGCAGGGAAGAGACCCGGCTGGCCCCATGCGATGGGCTGAGCCCCCGGCATCACCTGAGCGACTGGTGGCTGAGCACCCATGGCGATCTGCTGTTGGACGAGGGGCTGCTGGCCCCAGAAGGATGGGAGGACAGCGCCCATTGCAACATAACCTGGAAGGGGGTAGAAGAATAGTCAGGCACCCTAGGAAAGAACAATCCACGGATTCAAGGGATAAGCAGAAAGGTAACGGAACAACCATTAAGTGTCAGGCTATGTGCAAGGAACTGGAGACACAAAGATGAGTAAGACGGAAGTCCCTACTCTCAGGGAGCGTTCTGTCTAGAGCAATGGTCAGGGGAAACTTCTCCGAGGAGGCGATTCATAACAGGAAACCAGAATGCAGTGAGGGAGCAAGCCAGGCAGACATCTGGGGGATAATGACAATATTGCTAGAATTGCTAAAGATTTCTGACACCAGAGCCTTGAGAGCCGGTGTGCCCCACGGGAAAAGGCAGACGACTGGAAATCAGGCACATGAGGGTTTCAATCTTGCCTCCCCTTTTTCCTAGGCCTGGGACATTCTCAATCGCGCCAGTTCTCTAAGCTCAAAGTCAGGCTCCTTGTTGGAAAGCCAGGTAGGAAGATCTTCCTTCCAGGCATCGAAGCCGTGTGCCAAGGCAAGAAGAACCAGAGTGTCAGTTTGCGAGGCACGGGTTAAAATTCAGACCGCCATTTCTTATCTCTGAAATTTAGGGAGCGCTCACAAGCTCTCTAGGGCTCTGCCTCCTTATCTGAAAAGGGGACGTTAAATACCTTCTGTCACACAGGTCTGGTTTACAGATAAATGGAGATGATGTATGTGAGGTGGAGTACAGACACAGAGTGAGCATTTGGTAAATGTTAGCAGTTAGTAGTATTTGAATCAGATAAAGCCTTTGAAGTACTTAATTCCTTGCCTGTATACAGCAGCCATGCAATAAATGGTAGCTACAGGTATTATTACACATGATTTCTGTGTTATGATGACGATGTCAATTTCAGGTGACTGTCTACTCGGGGGCACCTCATACAGTGGCATATGTTGGGTACTGCGAAACTCCAGGGCGTCTACTCATGTAGGTTGCCGTGAGAATTGTTCGCCGTACTAAGTCCTTTCAGGTGAGATATAACCATTTTAAAAGCAGCACAACTGATACGTTCACATGAACAAAAGTAACATGAATCATTTCCACTTATGAAATGACTATAACATTCTAGGTACTGCATTAGGTAGATGCTTTACATCTTCACAAAATCCTTGCAGGGGAGGTGTTCTTATTATCTCTATTTTAGGGATAAGGAAATTGGTGCTCAGAGAGGGAAAGTACTGTGCTTGGGGTCACACAGTCAGCATCAGGTGGGATCAGGATCTGAACTGAGGTCGTCCATCCCCGAAGCTAATGTGCTTCCCTCTGTACCACAGTGCCCCACGCAGATGGCCAAGACCAATTTCTGATCTTCGCACGGTCAGTACACCTGATACAGTCACTCAGGGTTTCGGCAAAGTGTGGGCGGGCCCAGAGAAACTCCCACGTGCTTCCGGTGGTCCCCGCCCTTCTCAGGGGGCCCAGGGGCCATATGCATGTGCCGCTGAGCCTTGGAGACAGATGCCCCGGCCAGGCGGAGTAGAGGATGGAGACGCTGACTTGGCCTGACTTCTCAAAACCAGCCTTTTCATGGCTGTCAGAAGGAGTTTGCAGGTGTGCAGCAGTGAGGCCAGGAAAGGAGGAGTGGATGCAGGGTATCCTAGCAACTTCCAAAGGGAAGGCAGGCAGGCGCTGTGGTGCTGGTCGGGTCATGGGTGATGTCAATGACCCCGGGGAGCCCAGAGAAATCGCGTGCAGAGGGCGTCACTCACACTCCAGCCTCAGATCCCTTCAATGATGGATAAGGAATGGGGGCGGCATTGAAAGTCTAGCCGTTTCCTTGCAAGGTGACAGGAGGTGCCAGAGAGTCAGAGACAGGACACATGGGCTTCTTGCTGATTAATCCAGCAGTGTGCAATGCACTTATGGAGCATCAAGAAGCAACACAGACAATATCCTTATGAGATCCCCTGAGCCCTAGTGCACTGAACTAAGAGGGGCGAAGACACAATGATGTTGACACTCCAAACCTGACAGTCGCTTACGTTGAGTTTCACCTCACCTATCACCTAATAAGGCTGTGACTTAAGCCCACCAACAGACTGAGAATTCTGCAAGTGTGTTTCTTACTTTCTGATTTATTTGGTGGGGCCCAGGGGTTCTCAGTTGGGAGGGCTACCATCCCTTAGGAGGTGACCAGGATATCTGGGGCGTGTATGTGGGTGTCAGGGCACTTTGCTAGAGGGAGACACTACCCGCATTTAAGAGGCGGCGAGCGTGGATATCCTACAATGTCTGAGACCAACGTGTGCAGGTTATACCACAGTGTATATTACAACTGAGTATGGACTGGACTTTGAATTACGTGGAGAGGCAAAGTTTCATTGCACAGTTTTCTAGGAAGGTCACAACTGTGTACTCTGAGGGCAGACTGTATTTTGTTTTGTTTGAAACACTGTTAAGAGCTGCTCCCCATTTGGGAAAGCCGTGGTCCCGACAGAAACACTTCTGGTGTTTGAGCCAACACCACGTTCATGCATCTGTCTGCACCTGCAGTGCCGCTCTTTATAGGTATGCACACCAGGCCGCTTAGTAGGACATCTAGTGTGCTCGGACCCGGGCGTTTTCCGTATTCAGATATGTATCTTTTTATTATAAGTTAGCTTTTGAAAAGTTCCTCCTTATAATGCAGGCATCATATTGACTTTTTAAAAAGCTGTGTAGGTAAGTTATATTATCGATGAATTTCAAGAATTTAAAGGTGACATTACAAATATTTGTCATAAAAAGGGGGCACTGGGTCTGACATGGGGGAGACATGGATCTTCAACTACCTCAAACTTGCTGCCCATTTATTTTTAAATGTTTATTTCTGAGAGGGAGAGAGAGAGAGAGAGAGAGAGAGAGAGAGAGAGAGAGAGAGAGAAGGTGGACAGAGGATCCCAAGTGGTCTCTGCACTAACAGCAGAGAGCCTAACGCGGGGCTCAAACTAACGAACCATGAGACCATGAGCTGAGCCGAAGTCGGACACTTAACGGACTGAGCCACCAGGGCGCCACTTGATGGCTATTTTGATGAAGGGATGGAAGGTTTCAGCCTCCAGCCAGGCTATTTTTTAGTTTGCTTCTCCTCCGCCCCCCCTCGTTGCCCCTGGAGGACTGTTCTAAAATGCAAAACCAGTGCTTCATTGTCTTGAGTATAAGGTTCAGATGCCTTAGCTTGGCTCAGGAGCCTTTAGGGGTCAGTCCCCTTTCCCACCTCTCCATCCTATTTTCACCGGTACCTTTCCCCATAGCAGCTGCAAACAACACTCCACCTGCTCTCTCATCTCTGCTGGTGCTTCTGCCCGGAAAGCCACCCCCTCCTTCATGTGGCTACTCCTTACATGCTCTCTGAGAATCAGTTCAGCATCACCTGTGCTGGGCGCTTTCCCTGCTCTGGGGATTCAGCTGGTTCTCCTTCTCTGGGCTTTTGCAGTCCTCAGTGTTCATCTCCGTTATGGCCCTTGTCACACCGTGTTGTTATCGCCCAGTTACTCTGTCCTCCCTCATTAGACAAGAAACCACCTGCTGGCAGGAACCCTTTATTTTCTCTCTCCACCTCCTCTGTGTCTACCACAGGTGTGGGCACACATCGATGGCCCCATAAATGCTGGAGACTGGAGAAAGTCTGTTTATAAAGGTGAATGAGTTACAGTGGAATAAATGCCTCCACTGCATTTTTCCAAGTGTACAATTAAACTCCAAGATCTGTAAGTACTGTGATCTGTAAAGATTCTACTGTCGGTGGCAGGTTTTTCTTTCACTCTGTCTTTTTTTTTCCCCCCACAAGGAACCAACAGATGGGCTGTGCACACTTTTCTGGAGAGAGCTATTAGCATGTCTCCCTGGCTTCATGCCATCTGCTTCAGACCAAAGTACAATATTCAAAAGAAAAAAAAAGCAGCACGGGGTAATTGGGTATCATGTTTGGGAACTCGCAGGTCTGACTTGCTTTTCCTGGAGGGGGGTGGTCTATGCAGCCTGGGCTGTCCCCAAATCTGTGAGCTAAGGCTCTCAGGCCACATGGCATTGTGCATGCCCGACGGCACACCTCGGTAGCAGGACTGTGGTAGCAGTGGACCTGGGGAGCCACTTGGTGTGTGCCACGGCAGCCACTTAACTGCTTAGTAACATTTAGTCATTAATGTTCGACAGTGGAGGGAGGAGGGGCCACGGAGCATCTGTTTATGCCACGGAGTGCAGATCAATCATAAATCTCCTTACTGTGAAGTGAAAGGAAACACCTGCATTACTGCCTTCCAGTTAGATTTTTAAGAAGTGTTGAAAATTGCAATTTACAGCCAGATGCTTGCACCTGGGGATACCTCATTATTTGGATTAAAAAAAAAACAACAGACTAAAATATGGGGAAAATACAGGAAACGAAGGTACGCCCTGAACATTTATGCAGAACTTGTATGGTGATGCTTATTTACATTAGCACAATCGTTTGTTCGTTCATTCATTCATTCATTCATTCATTCATTCATTCAAAAGTAGCCCTATTGGACGCTAAGCACTATTTCGGTCTCTGGAGATGCAGTGAAGAACAAAACAGTTAAAAAAAACATCCCTGCCCTCATGGAGCTTGCTGATCCTAGCAACAAGCCTCTGGCATAGCTGTTTTCAGTATCTCTTTACCCCGTACACGAGAAACTGCAGCTTGCTGAGGGGAGGGCTGGTGGCAGCTGTCACAGAGCAGGGGGTGGGGGCCAGGGCTCCTAACGGACAGGCTAGCAAACGTGCCGACTGCTTACTCATGTCAACGCTGCCAGGCACTGTTTTCAACGTTCTAGTACATGTATTAACTTGTGCAATCGTCAGACCAGCTCTGTAAGGTGGAATTACCGTCCCCATTTTACAGACAGGTTCTCTGAGGCTCAGAAGACATTTAGCTGAGTATTACACAGCTGGCTAGTGGCAGGGCCTGTATTCAGACACGGTACATTCTCTGAGCCCCCCGGCCAGCTCTGCCACACAAAGGAGGCCAAAGACCTAAACTTTATTGCAGGGATGTTTCTCTAACTGTTCCAAAAAGGTAAATGAAAAAATATAGGTAGGACAAGACATTTTCTTCTGCTTTAGAAATAAGAGTAATAATAATAATAATAATAGCAAAAACAGCTGCATTTCCATGTGAAGCATTAGGATGCTAATAAGTTTCAAGGCGCTTAACTTTATTTTCTCACTTAATTCTCAAGATACTGTTGCAAGGCAAGTGTTATTTTCAATTCAGGTATATAGATGAAGAAACTCTGGCTCTGACACATTAAGTAATTCGCTCAGGAGTCCAACACATACATAAATAGATGAGCCAAGACTCAAACGCAGCCCATCGGACGCAAATTCCTCCAGCAGCCCATCTATTGTCCTGCAAACCATAGTTCATGTCCCCGGCTCCCTACCACTGGCTGGACAATGTGGGACAGGCAGATGGAGACCCAATGTCTGCAGAGATTTTTTTCTTTTAGGGCGAGTTAAAGGAGGAAAAGGCTGACAGGTGACCACCAACTGAAGTCTATTTTTGTTCCCCAGCATATCTGAAGCAGAAGCAGGCACTTCAAGAAGCAAAATGTGCTCACTGAAATTAATTTTGCACTTCCATTCTAAAAATTGAAAATTGGAACTTAATCTATTAATTTAATTTAATTTAATTTAATTTAATTTAATTTTAGCATCTGTAGAAACTGAATCTGGATGTGATGTGGCTTGTCCATAGTTTGCAACATGGCTGGTCAATTAGCAAGTTGAAAACCCAGGTCTTCAAAGCCCTAATGTGACACAGGCTCAGGAGGAGGCCCAGAGCAGTCCTGTGCAAGACCTGGGCAGGTCCTTAGGTGCTTTTACTGAAACATTAGGGTCGGAAGACGTGTGATTGCATCTTGTCCCACTCTCACAGAGAGGGGAATGGAGACTCCTTGACTAGAATACTCTGCACCCTGACATCTTCTTGGCTTCCTCCCTCACCCCTTCTAGTCTGCTCACATCTCACCTTTGCATGAGCCCCACCTGGCCACAACCAACCTCCATTTACCTGCTCTCCACATGCTCCAAAGCTCCCACACTTCACTCAACATTTTCTTCTGCCTGCACCACTTACCGTTTTTGAACGCATTACATAAGTTACTTATTTTTATGTTGTTGCCTGTTTCCCCAGTAGAAAGGAAGCACTCTGGAGGCAGGACCTGTGTCTGGTGCATTCACTGACACACCCCAGGCACCTAGAACAGGGCCCGGCTCGTGTCGGCACTCAGTGAATGTTTGTGGAGTGAACATGTCTGCCGGTTTGTTAGTTTGGGGCCTAAAGTTCCCATTCCCTGTTCCAGCACATCTTCACGGATCAAACAATGAGGACGAAGCATGGGGATTCTCGACATAGGAAGGCGATACGTTCTTACGGAAAACTGTTACTCTTATTTAAGATGACATATTCTATTACACTATTCCCAAGGAAATTTTAATATCTATTTGAGGTAAGGAAAACTAGTCATCACCACAGTCCCATTTTAGAGAGGAGTATAAGAGATTTGATTGGGAAGCTGGTCAATTCAATATGTTTCTGGGTTACTTGCATATTCTACATTTTAAGTTAGTACCAATCTCTGTTGCTTCTGAAAATTTCATACAATGACCTCTGGGCTCATGGGGAATAACTGTAACTATTTCATAAGAGACTGTGAATTTTTACTTCACTTTGAGTAGCAGCAAGGTTCACATTCGGTGGCAAGAATTTGCTTCTAACACTGTATAATTAAAATTATTTATAGAGAAAAACGCAAGAAGATTTGTATTTGAAAATATTCAGGCTCTATTTGCCATATCTAAGAATGAACTAGAAAGCTGAAGCCACCCAGATGTCAAATATGTAGCTAAAGAAAGAAAAAAAGTCTTTAAGGCTCTCATGTATGTAAAGAGCAGAATATCATCTCTGGCCACATTCAAGTACACTGCCCTGGCTACGTGGAGTGCCTGTTGCCATGGAAACAAATTAAGGTGTCTGAGATCCCACCAGTTCATACCATACCTACAATACTGTTCCTATATATATATATATATCTTACCCTGTTGTAAAAGTAGTATATATATTTTAGAGAATGTTTGGAAAACAGAACAAATACTTTCAAAATCACTAAGAGCTCCATCACCGTCCCAATTCACTGTTGGCAGTTTTCTCTGCCCCTCAGTGTCCTGTATACATGGAGAACCTCCTGGTTCTTGAGTCTCTACCAAATGAGGCAGACACCTATCAATCAGATCTCAAGAGGTCTGTGGAGAGCTAATATCCCTCACCTGCCACTTTCCTCTTTCTGGCTGAGATGGATAGGAGGAAATGAACTTGTACTGATTTGCACGGCTCTGTGTGCAGAGGGCTCCCTAGCGCTACATACATGAATCACCTAGAAGCTTGACCTTTCCAGGTGAATTCATCTACAGCAGACTACAGATTTGTAAACACCCCCTCAGCCCCCACTGGCAGCCTCTCAATGTCACCTGGAGAGACCGGTGGTTCCACAGGTGTTCTGGCATGATGTGGCAGCTGTTCAAGTCAACCCTTTCTCTTTCTTGTTGAGTGGAGGCCGAAGGAAAGGAAGCAGGTGGAAGACAGCTTACCTGAGGGTACAGCAGCAGTGCCGAAAGGTACAGAACTAAACATGTCTGCACTCGCCGGGAGTGTCTGAGATGAAGACGGGATAAAGGCATCACCTGGAGTTGCAGGAGTCTGTTAGACAGAGAGAGGCAGAAGGTGCATGAGGCTCCCGGGAACCCTGGTGCAGCGGCCATCAAGGATGGGGAGCAGCAGGTGCAGGAAATAAGGGGCAGGGGATGCTGCAGAAGCAAGCCACGGTCCAAGCCACGTATATGGTATGCAGACCACAAGGTGGTTGTACGTAGCAACCACAGAACAGGAAAAATGATACCTACCTATAGAGCAACTGTGATAATTAAGTGGGACCATGCATTTAAGTCACTGAATGCTGAAGCAATAGCAGGTGCTCAGCAAAGAGTGGTCAGTACCATGACCCTTTAGTCATAATATCTGGCTTTCATCCTTTAGGGGTGGTCAAGGTAAACTGACACGCGTCCACTCAGGACCTACTGTGTGTCTCGTTCGGGGCTTGTCACTTAATACACGATAAATAAACAGTTTGTCTAAATGAACAATCAAGCTTAGCGACTAGAGCAGAGACCCTTGTGTGCTGGTGCCTTTTCAGAATTCTGCCTGAATCTCCACGTGTAAAGAGAAGTAAACATTTTCAAGAAGATGATAAAAAACAAAAACAAAAACAAAAACAAAAAAACAACAAAAAACCCACAACCCACAACAACAACAACGCCTAAGGAGGTGCAAATGCTCAAGTGCCCAGCCTATGCTGGCATCCGAGAGAGGTCTGGCGCATGAGCTGCTGGCTAAGGTGAGGTGTGCTGAAATAAATCAAATGAATCAAGTAAATCAAAGGGGTACTGAGGGGTACTGAAAGAAAAGCATCAGCCCTCAGGGTTTTAAAGGTCCATGCCCATTTACCGCAGCCTTTTGCCTACAAAGTACGCCTATTCCATGCCATGACATCCTTATTTTTCTTTTCCCCTTGGAATAGACTGGGGCAAGCAATTAATCCTGAAACCACAGCAATTAGACAAGGCCATTTTTAGAGCAGCAGCCTGGGGGAGGAATGGCATTGTTCTGAGGATTTTTAAATACCCATTTGTAACGCACTTGGGTTCGGGGCCAGAAACATAGCCATGAGCTGCTGCAGTAAGCACTTTTGAACACAATCAACGCCCTGTTGTTTCCCACACGTGACCCTGGGCGAGTCACATGTCCTTTCTGGGACTCAGTTTGCTCATCTGTAAAATGAAGGGAGGTTAGAAGATCTCTTCAGACCTTTCTGGCTCCACAGCTTGAGTCTCTAAGTGCCCAAGATGCAGCTGTTGCCCCTGGGATGGAGGAGAGGAGACTGCCTCCCTGGAGACAGGAGCTGCTGTCCCCACTGTCACGGCTGCTCTGGACATCAGGTCTCGGGAGCAAGGCAGCTGTGTCTAGAGTCCCAGGCGGCAGCTGTGGGCAGCAGAGTCTCGTGCCATCTGTCCTCAGTCATGAGGGTACACACAGCCTCTTCTCTGAGGCACATCTTGCCAATGAACCATAGCACCATCCCTCCGGCTGTATGACCGAGCAGCACCCAGAGGAGCTGCCCCCTCCCAGCGGCTGCTGCTGGTGCAGCTGCGGCCGACTGCCTTCTGCCCACCTCCCACTTCCGGGGAGTGGGCAGGGGAGGCTCTGGAGGGGCCATCTCAGCTCTATTCTTTGCTATGGCCACAGGGTTGCCTTTGAATGCAACCGGTTCTCAAAGCACTGGGATTCTATTTTGCTTAGGTTTTCATTTTCAAATTAGGGTTCCCAGCAGTCTCTGTCCCGTTGTAAGCAGTGACAAGCAATGGGAGACACGCCCTGGCTGAAACTAGAGCTGGGACTCCAAAGCTTCATGAGAAGCTCAAGGAAGCTAGAAGGCAGGAGGGAAGTGGAGGGGCGGGGGATGAAAAGAAGGGGGAGAGCCGATAAAGGAAGAGACAGGAAAAGACAGAAAGGGCCAGGGCAGAAGGGGCTTCTTTTACTGGGCTGACCACCGGGCTGTGTGGGCTCTGGGTTGGCGCTGACGATGCCTCCCTGTGTGTGCAGTCCTGTGGCCTTTCTTGCCCGTATTCCCAACTAGACCATGTGCCCC